CTGTGGTTTTAGTAGCTAAGCTAAAATGCTTTTATAGTAGCAGGAAAAAAAAAAGAACAATTTTGTCCCCCCAAAGTAACAGCGATCCCGCAGGTAGCGTTGCAAACTTCCAATACACATTCAGAAGTTTTTAAACCACATGCTAAATCTTGCATTTTGAAATGACAGATCTTCCCGTGTGGCAAAGCCCTCTCTGTGGAAATGACTTTCTTGAAGACTCATCTCAGCCAATGCTATAATTTTCTCCCAGTTGGCCATTTCCGATCCCCTTCGTGTGCACTTTTCTTTGATGGAAAAGTTCCCCTCTGTGGCACAGCCTTCGAGATTTAGAAGTCCAACTCCTGAAACAATTGTTTCTCAAAAATATTCAAAATGCATTTGAAGATGATGGAACGTGTGTCTCCTTCTCCCATCTCCTGGTAGGAGACCATGAGACAGCCGAGAGGTCACCGGGGATCCGGCCACGGTCATCACCCCAGGGTGGTGCAGTGAGGACCCTGCTTTGTCGTGCGGGGAGCAGATGATTTGGGTAGTGAGCACGCGCTGCCTGTCAAGTGCCTGCCTTTGGACAGAGCACACCGTTTGCACACTAATTGCTCTCCTTGGTGGCCTGGGCTTTCTTGGGGGGCCTTTCTTCTAAGAGGATGTCAGGCCTGCACAGCCCTGCGCCCAAGCTCCCTGGACAGAGCCACCCCCGCCCGAGGGCCCAGAAGACCTGTGCCCTCACCCTTTTCCAGCCACAGGCGAGAGGCATGGGGTCACACAAATCACTTTGCCTCTGAACTTCCTGTTTGCAAAATGAAGATTTGGGGGCTAGGTAGTTCTGACATCCTCGTTAGCTTTCCAAGCAAAGTGACTTTTCCTTGTACTGCGGAGCCTTGAGAGAGAATCGGTGCGTTCTCAGCCCCAACCCCCAAACTTCCCCTGCATGTAGACATGTGTAAATTCTATGCTACGAAGCTCCTGCAGGATCAGCTACACAGGAACCCAAATCTATAAGTGGCAGTTTCAGTGAGTTAAGAACATCCTTAGCATCATGCTACTATAGTTCAGACTTCTTTCCTTTTTCTTTTGTTAGACTTCAGCAGTGTGACAACGCAGGCATCTCTTAAACAGGGGTGACAAGAAAATAGATACGACAACACAACGTATGGAAGGAAAGACTGGGGCCGATTCATCTGAGTGGGTGCAGAGGTTAGGACCGAGAGCGAGGACCCGTAGACTTGCTGTCCGAAGCGACGTGAGCCCCAAGGTCAACACTGAATTGCTGTGACGCAAAAGTGTTGATGAGCCCAACAGAAAAAGGCCAAGGACAAACAGTATTCTATGAGAATTTTGTAAGTCATGAGAACATATTTACAAACAAGGAGGGGACGAGTTGCTCCGTAATGATGCTAAAAATAATAATTGATTATTTGGGAAAACATGCAATTAGAACCTTTCCTCAGACTGTCCACCATACTGAAAGGTAAATGGGTCTAGAAATGTGAAAAATGAAGCCCTAAGAGCTGGAAGCAATTGAAGGGATGTTTATCCACATGAGAAATGACTTCTAAGGCCCGGGAGATCGATAGAATCGTTCGTGTTCAATCTACTGTGTCAAAAATCAGCATGGAAACAGTAAGCCACAAAAAAATAAATAAATAAAAATAAAAAATAAAAGGAAAAGGAAAAAGTTAGCCATAAGCAATCGGTACCCACTTGTGGGGCGGGAATCAGCAGCGGTGCCTTCTGTTGCTGACTACTTCCACCCTGGGGAGCGCTCGGTGCTTAAGGGTAAACCCACTGTATGCATTTTAGAACAAGGTGTGTGTTTCCATATTTCCTTTCTCTTGTGGAAATACCCAGGAGTTGATTTTCTGGGTTGTACGTGAGGTGTATGTTTAATTTCTAAGGGACTATTGGGCCTTTTTCAGAGGGAATACCAACCATCCTCCACTCCCACCAGCAATGTTGGAGTTTCCGGTAGCACGACGTCCTGGCTGACATTTCGTGCTATATATCTGTTCTTTCTTTTTACATAGTCTGATGGCGTGAGCTTCACTGAGGTTTTAGTAGGAATTTCTCAGGTTACTAATGATGCGGAGCGCTTATGTGTTTATGGGCATGTATATATTTTCCTTATGGAAAATGGCAGCTTAAATATTGTACATATTTATTCTATTTGTTCCTGAGGTTTTTTTTTTTTTTAATGCTGTGTTGTAAAGGAGATTTTTGTGTATCTAAGTTTCCAGCCCTCTGTCAAACACATGTTCCTTAATGATTTAATTATTTTCTCCAAGTCTGGCACTTGCTTATTCATTTTCTTAGCAGTACCTTTGATAATAGAAGTTTTGAGTTAAAAAAGATTTGTATGTGTAAGGTCTAATTTACCATCTTTTATCATATTGGTCACTGCAATTTGTCTAGGAAAATTTGGCTTGCTGGTAAATCATGCATGTTTTCTTCTATATTTTTTCTCGAATGCTTCGTGATTTTATATTTTACATTAGGCCTTTTTTATCCACTCTGACTTAATTTGTGTGTGACGTAAGAGTTAGGGGTAAAATTTCTTTTCTTTCTTTTCTTTTCTTTGCTTTTCTTTTTTCTTTTCTTTTCTTTTCTTTTTTTTCTTTCTTTCCCTTTTCTTTTCTTTTCGTGAATATCCAGGTATTCCAGTATCATTTGTTTAAAAGACTTTCCTTTCTCTGTAAAGTTACATTGGCACTTTTGTCAAAAGTTGCGTTTTGTGGGTCTATTTTTGGACACTTGTTCCTGTTCCATGAATCTGTTTGTTACTTCCTCTGCCAGCTTCCCTCTGTTTTGGTTACTGTGTCTTTAGAATCAACCTTGAAGTTGAAGTATAAGACCTCTAGCTATGTTTTTTTTTTTTTTATTTTTTTCAAGCTTGCTTTGGGTTTTGGTTTTGGTTTTGGTTCCAAGTCCATGTATATGTGTCTGTGTGTGTGTCAATATACATATATTACTATATATAAATTAAAATACATAATCAATAGATATATTAGAGGATCATCTTTCAGTGTCTATAATAAAATCCTCCTGGTATTGGTAATGTATACTTATACTGCATTGTCTGTATCTCCTTCTTGTTTGCTCCTTGTAGTCACTTCAAGAAGAAATTGTATGTGGGACACCCAGGTGGCTCAGCAGTTGAGCATCTGCCTTTGGCTCAGGTCATGATCCGGGGTCCCAGGATCGAGTCCCACATGGGGCTCCCCGCAGGGAGCCTGCTTCTCCCTCTGCCTGTGTCTGCCTCTGTCTCTGTGTCTCTCATGAATAAATAAATACAATCTTTAAAAAAAGAAGAAGAAATTTTACGCATCCAATTCCTTGTCTCAGGCTCTGATGTGGGCAAATGAAGATGCTCTTCATGTCCACTTACCTTAACTGGTCGTATGTCCTGCTTCATGTGTGCTTTCTCTAGCTTAATATTTGTGATATATCATAAACATACCCTTTAAAAGACTTATTTAAGGGATGCCTGGGTGGCTCCGTCAGATAAGCATCTTTCTTCAGTTCAGGTTACGATCCCAGGGTCATGTGCTCAAGCCACCCATCAGGCTCCCTGCCTAGCAGGGAGGCCACTTCTCCTTCTCCCTCTGCCTGCCACTCCCCCTGCTTGTGCTCCCTCCGACAAATACTCTGTCGAATAAGTAAATACAATTTTTTTTAAGTAAAAGACTTATTTAAGTCTTTGCCAAGATTATAAGTTGGATGAGAAATCAGAAGTCATTGAAATGCACCATTGCTACCTACTGTCTATATTTCCATGAAAAACTTATTATGCTATGATTCTACATTTTAAAAAACACATTTATATATCTTCTACCTACCCACAAATGTTTTATACAAACTGTGTTTTAAAGTAAGATTGTATGTGTAACATGACTTTAAAATTGTAATTTGTCAGTACAAATGTAGAGGACTATTGATGTAAGTAGTCATTGGTAATAACTCATTTTCTATATATTACTTATAAGTAACAAGCTAATATTTTAGTGTGCAATTAGAATTATTACCCCACGTTTTTTTTCTTGAAAAATGAATATCCTGGAACTTTGACAGTGTCCCTTCCAACATCAGAAATATTCCCTGTCTCCTACCTAAGATCTTCATGTGATCTGAGGCACTACTGCTTATAGACTCATTATAAGACATGTCCATAAAAGCAGGATATACATATATTTTCACAATTTTTCTTAACTGCTATTTAAAACACTTTTGTGAAAATTATGCATGGGTGTGAAGTGTTGAGTGATTTACAGTGATTCATTTTGGATTCAGGGTTGGTGATTTCTTTCCCTATATGACCCCACATTCCTTTCTAATGATCAACCTCTTATACATGTAGGCTGTTGGGCACATGGATTTTCTTTTTTATCCAGCTTAAGTTTCTGCCTCAGTTCCTTTGCCTGAGTCCCACCCTGCTGTGCATACCTGGACAGTAAACATCTCAGCATGATCCTTCTTCTAAAAGAGTCCAGAAGAAAAGACATGAATGCTACTCGTCCTTTCCCTTCTTCCCATGAATTCATACTTCTCTGCTTGATTTTCCTGAATAGTAGACTTCCCAAGCCAAAGGAATGGCCAAAGCGAAGTTTCCCTGTACTAGTCTAACAGGACAGAACACAGTAATGTTTCTCACCCTGCCTTTTATATCTGTAACTCATTTCTTCTTAAGTTAGCATTCCTGCAAAATGGTGGATTGACATACTCTCTGCTGGTCCCAGAGGGCTTGCTGTCATCCTCATGTTTGTCCCATAGTTCACTGAAGAGGTCACACATATGCAGTTGATTTACTATAATATATTTTCACAGATGTTATTTGGAGTTTGGTCTGACCAGGTGAAGCAGGATAATTCATTATTAAGTAACCTGAGTTTTTTATGCCAGGGAGCATTTGCATAAAAAAACAAGGTTAATAATTACTCATATTGAGGGAATGGGAAGGGAAGAGGATCTTTTTATATAATAATCTTCTATCCTTTGCTGCCAAGACAGCAGCCACCTGGTCACCCAAGGGAGTTAATCTTCTAGGGTCTACTCCCCCTACCACAATCGAGCAGCGCCACGGAGCTGAATGATGCTCAGGTTTGTGGGGACGAGGAGCGTACTGGGGTCATGTAGAGCAGAAATAAGGAAGCAGCTTGATTGGAGGATGGCTGAAACACAGCAGTTCTGATAAATGCAGATGCACAGATTCCACTACTGCTGGTGAGATTATCCGCTGACATTTCTGTTATTTTTGACATTGTGAATAGGTAGGAATATTTTATTGTTAATTTAGCAATTAGACACCAAACACAGGGAAAAAACAAAACAAAACAGTAGCGTTCTGTTGTTATATTGTCTCCTTATAAACACTGCAGATTAAGTCATCAGAGCTCTCATTTTTCCATATTTCCATGTTGTCAAAGATAGGTGGGGGTGCAAAGGGCAGAGGGTTAACATTCCAGTTCCTTCCACTTTCCAGGCCTGAGGGAAACCTTTTAGTTAAATCATGTCATTTAATCCCATTATAATTTGGACGTGTTGTTCTTGGCCAAGTTTCAAAAGAAATTAGCTTCAAATCTTGGTATTTTACCAATCCCTGTCCCTCGGAGGGTAACATCCACTTACTCCTTTGTGTGTTGAATTAAAAAAAAAACAAAACAAAAACTTAAAATTTCAATTGTCTGTATTATTCAGAAGAATATATTTAAAAGGCTGGCCAACATGGCAGGGATATTAATCCCTGCAACGAGGAGGACCCTTGTGAGTCGGTTTCAATAGCCCACATTTCCTGACTACTTCTGTACAACATCACCGCCTGTTTCCGCAGCCCCTCTTCAGAATGCAGCCACAAAAGGCAGCAATCCAGGGGCTGCTGCTCTCATTGAGCAGGTGAAGTGAGGGAAGATGGATTCTTCTATCATCTCACCAAAGAATTGCTTATTCTATTCAGATTTATAGTGTCTGCAGAACAAGAGCGCTGTCACTCATAATGGCCCTGGCCATTATTTATTTATGAGCGCAGGCAGCGGCTGTGATTCACAGGGCGGCGGGCAGCTGCTGTGCCAGCCTGCCATCCGTCATCGCCTCTTTCTCTGCTAGCACTGTCAGCGCTCCTGTGAAAGCTGCCCTCTCCCACTTTCAGCCTACGCACTCCGCATGTGTTTGACCGTTGCCCTCCAGTTCTAGAAGGGAGCAGCCGGCTCACACACAGGACACGAAGATTGACCACGCAGAGCCTACAGGATCATCTTGGACCCATGAGAGAGATGTGGAATCGCACTTGAGCTAATGAGAAAGACCCTCCCTTCCAATCAAGTAGTAGCTACTGGACAGTGGGCATGGGGTGCCAAGGGCCTTGCGGGGAGAACCTGCCAGGAGTACATCTACACCAAGGAAAGAAGGCAACATGACACAGATGGAGAGGAAAGGATGCCTCCATTCCCACAAATAGGTTATCTTCTTTGTTCCCTTCCTCTTTTTCCTTAAGCCAATGCGAGTAGGGTTTCTGTATCTTGGAATGGAGAGAATTATGATGAATAAGCAGCCGATGCTTTTATTGAGGATGAGATGGGATCGGATACTAGAGACAAGTGAGTGAATCCAGAGAGATGAAACCATCCATGATCGAGGGACCGATGCCACCGCAACATCGCTTGTTGCATGTGCAAACTGGGCCGGATAAGCTCAGGATATCACATCTAGAGGAAAGGATGAGCCTTTTCTCCAACATCTCCTGGAACAGAGACTGTAGGCAATTTATTTCAAATGAGTGGATACACGTATCTTTGGTGCACTGTGTTTGTCAGGCTTTGATGACCACTAGATAGTATTTTGCTCATTTTAAAAAGATTAAAACTTGGGGGGAATCCTGGATGGCTTAGTCGGTTATATGCCTAACTCTTGGTTTCAGCTCAGGTCATGATCTTGGGGTTGGGATGAGCTCAGGCTGGGCTCAGTGGGGAGTCGCTTGAGATTCTCTCCTTCTCTCCCTCCCTCTCCCTGTGCCCCTCCCTGAAACCCACTCATGCGCGCGCGCTCTCTCTCTCTCCCCCCCCTCTTCCTCTTGCACACTCTCTCAAATAAATAAACAAAAATCTTAAAAAAGAACATCAAATATTGGGAACAGAAAAGTTGCTATGTACTCCCCGAATCACGCACTTGTAATAGGAACAGAGTCAGGATTTAAAGCTACATCTGCCTGACCTGAACGGACATTCAATTTATTATTTTTTTAAAGATTTATTTCTTTATGTGAAAGAGAGAGAGAGAGAGAGCACGTGCATGTAGTGGGAAGGAGAGAAACTCAAGCAGCGTCCGTGCTGAGCACTGAGCTTAACATAGGGCTCAGTCCTGTGATCTCTGAGCTGAAACCAAGAGTCAGACCCTTCACGGACCCAGGGGCCCCCACTCTCAATTTATTAATAACACTAATGATGGTAGTTATTTTGCTAACTCCAGTAGTTATATTTTTTCTGGGATAAAAGACATGCTTGATCAAAAGGACCTCACCCACCAACCAGCACCTAAAATCTTAAAAATTATATTGCCTAAAATCTTCATTCCTAGACTTTTCTCTGAATTCAGATTTTCTTAATTGCTGTGCTTCTAGGCAGAATACTTAAAATATGTCTAAACATATTATACTGAATACTTTTCCAAAGTCAAAGGGAATTTTTGCCGGTATTAAATTATCTAATCATATTGATTAAAGAATCTATGTTTTAGATTCCTCTTGATACACCTACATTTTGGAGTCTTATTAAGTCTCTATGTTTTACATAGAGCTATTTTATTTATAATTTTTGATACATTGTTTAATGTGAATCTCATGGGACCCCATTTATATATAATTGATTTAATTTTTTTTTAACTTGAGTTACTTGACACATACTGCTGTATTAGTTTCGGGTGTACAACATAGTGATCCAACATCTCTGAATGTTATGTTACACTATGTTATGCTGTGCTACCATCTGTCACTATACAACCCTATGACAACACCATTATACCTTATGCTTTACCTTTCATTCCCATGACCTATTCGTCCCCATAACTGGAAGCCTCCCATTCCCCTTCACCCATTGTGTCCGACTCCTCACTCCTTTCCCCTCTGGCAACCATCAGTTTGTTCTTTGTTTTTATATGTCTGATTCTGCTTTCTGCTTGTCTATTCATTTGATTGGATTTTAGATTCCATGTGTGAGGGATAACAGGGACTTGGAAAATCACATAATTTGGAAGTGGCAGGGCTGAGTATGTGAAATGCTGAACTTGATGAGGGCAGGAACATTTAAAGACTAATCAGGGAGAGCACGTGACTTTGATTCATTTGCTGCCATGAGGAAAAGGAAATACACTTTACAGGAACAAAAAAATTGTGATTAGTTGAAACATGACTAAACAGGCTCTATTATGAAGCAGAAATATTTATAGACTATTAAATGTAAAAGGAGAGCTCATAAATTCACAAGGATTATAAAAGCAGCTTCCAAGATGCACTCTGTGATGGGCATACTCCGACCTGAAAGTAGTAGATTAACCATTATAGAGAAAGAGAAACCCGAGATGGGTGAAGGATTCCCAAGAGTACACTTAATTCGGTTAATTTATATGATAGGGAGTTAGAAATTTGCCAGTTAGGTTGGTGAAATATTGACAGTGACCTCTGAGGAACTGTGATTATTGAGTCTGTGAGAACCCAGGTGAAGGAATACCCCTATGCTTCATTCAGTGTGGATTCTTCTAGAAGAAGCTATATTGGACTCACACATTTTGTTTTTTCTTTAAAGTGGGCAAGAGAAAAGTATCCATAAAATGGGGTTGTGAAAATTAAGTGTGCATCAAAATCATCTGGCATGCTTGTAAACAAACAAACAAACAAAACAGAACAAAACGAAAACACAGATTGTTGGGCTCCAGTTGAAGATTGTTGGGAAGTCTGGATCGGAACTCAGAAATTTATGTTTAACAAATTCGCAGTTGATACTGATGCTGCTGTTCTGGTAACTATATGTTGGGAACCACTGGGTTAGCCATGGTGCCTTGTGCTCAGCTAGCCATTTGACATCATATTCCTTTCAGCCATCTGGAGAAGCCCAGGTGTTACGTAAGCACACCATTAGGCTGCATTTTTTTAATCTCCAGGCCCAACTGATATAACACTTTCATCAGAATTTCTGTTGATTATGCTGTTGGTAACCATATAAAGCCTTGGCATTCACTAGCTCTTTTCAAGTTGCCAAGTTGAGTCATGCATGTGCCCTTTCTTATAACTTCAGAAAAATGGAATTCACTCTAAATTGTTTAGGTAGAAAATGAATTTCCTAATGATTCTTAAGTGAGTCATAGAATTATCAGGATGGCCAAAGGGATATACACGAGGATAAAATCACAGGGACAATGCTCAAAACCATAACACCAAACTGGCCTACTGCTGTGTCCTACTGGAGTGGCTTAACTTGCAAACCATCCTCAATCCAGAACCATATTGCATTATTAGCCTGCCTTTGAAATCTTTAGCATCATCCCTCCCAGAGAGTAAATTCTCCCCACAGAGCCCTTTGTGTAACGTTGCTCACCTCTGCATTGAGTTCTGTGGTTCCATGTGACCTTAAATCACAAACTTGTATCACCAAAAATGAACTAAGAAATATATGTTTTGAACTCTACCTTGGAAAGACATCACTTAGAATGTGCGGTCCTATCCAAATTTAGGGAGATGTTCAAAAATCTCAGATGGCCTTCTCGGTGGTTGTTCTGGTTTATTGTATGTTGCAAATGGTGCCAAATCTAATGTGTTAAGACAACAATGGATCATCTTTCATGTTTCTGTGGGCAAACTGGGTGAACTAGGTGCTTCCTGCTTAAAGTCTGTCATTCAGTTGCAGTTGGAAGTGGTTGGGGCTGTGTCTATCTGAAGGCTGGACGAGGCTGGGTGTGCAAGATGGCTCACTCACATCGATGTCAGGAGGAGCTGGGGATCAGCTGAGGAGTCATCTGGGTCTTCTTATAACATGATGGCTGGATTTAGGAGAACTCAAGTGAAGAGTAAGTGTGAGGCAAGAATAAGAAGAAATTGTCCAGGGTAGTCCAGAGGATTATCCCTGTATTGGGCCCAGGACCACTTCTATCATTCTCTATGGATCATAGGACCTTCCCAGATTCAAAAGACAAAAGGGTGGCAATATTATATTGTAGAAGAATATGCAGGGGTGGAGTTGTGGTCCTGACCATCTTTGGAATAGTGCTCCTTGAAAGTGGACAGATGGAGTGTATTTGCAGCTAATTAAAAAAAAAAAACCATGCCCACCACATGTGTGTGTGCTCATGTACACTTGAGCTCATGTACATGCCATGCACATACACATACTCACCTCGGTGTTTCAGTGCTGGTTTCAAATTCTAAGGCAATTGTCTTTACAGTTTACTGTGGAAGACAGAATGTGAGATCTCTCACTGTGATAGAAATAGGATGGAGATTAGATGCGGGACTTCTTCCCTCCCAACCACAGGTGAAAAGTGAGTTTCATCAACACAGGTTTTCATAGTGATGCTATCTAATAATGTACATCATTTCTGCCCAAGTCCTAGGTCAACTTTAAGACAATTTTCTAAAAAAAAAAATGTTTATGCTTCAAACATGGGGTTAGACTTGTCCATCAGATTGATGCTCTACTGTTTTGAAGTCAAACCTTACAAAATTGAATATCCTGATGAATTAGTAGTTTCTTATAAATAATAAATTGCATATTAGAATAATCTTTAAAAATGAAGGGATCCATTCATTCTATGACTTTGCTTCTCAAACATGGAGCTGGTTTCACCTTAGAAAGACAATTGCGTATTTTCCTTGTTGATCCTCAATTAGATAAGAAACTAATGATCCTCATTACTCCATCCACATCTGAAAAAAACAGTAAAAGTGGGCACTGTCATTGTCCATCCCTGTTGAGAAGCTTTATAAACACAGCTTTGCTGTGGAATTGCTGTCAAGCTAAAAGAATTCTAGACAACACTCAAGATTTCTTCACACTTGATTACCCGAGGCGTTCTGTGGACACCCACTAAGGTTATTTACAAGCACTCACTGAGATCACTTAGAACTTCTTCAAAACCCGAGGGCTTTTTTGAATCTTTGGAAACTGCTTCCAAATTCCAACAGTTGTGAAGAAATTATTTCTTTTGAGTACTTGTAAAATAATTTAGTGCCATCATGAAAACAAATGCAGATTGGTATACTGAGTTGTACCGAATGAAAACTGTCTTACATATAGAATTAAAGAATATAAATGTGGAGGCTTTTCATTTTGCTGTCCATCCCTTCACAGTTTGGCATCACTTTGAAGTGAATAAAAGGCTCTGCTGTACTTAAGCTAATCATTTAAAATATGAGGATTAAGTTTTAGGATTTGATTAGAGGGAGAAGTTTTTAAGTGTCGCCTTCTTATGCATAAGCATCTACTTAAGTCCTCTACTTTCAAAATGAATGTACCACCCTCAGACCTGTAACATCAAAGTGCAGGGTTCCTAGGATTTGGCTTGTCCATATGATAATTATCTGTTCTTCTTCTGAAAGAGAGGACAGGACCTGGCATGATGAGCTAAGGGAAGGGAGGGCTGGTTGTTTTTCAGACCTTCAGCAGATCTTTCTGTTTATAGCCCAATACTCTTACCATTTTCCAGAGAACTGGGAGAGTTCTTCAACAAAAATATGATGACTTCTCAGCCTTTCCCAATGCCATTTGGTTTTTTAGGATATACTAAATCAGTTATTAATTTACTATCTCCTTTCCATATTACTATTTTTCTTACTGTTGTCTCAAGTTGCATGTTTTTGTTGATTTTTTTCCTTTCAAAATATCTGCTTACTATTTTTTAAGGAGATTTAGGAAATAAAAATACAAAAGCATTTTTTTTAGGGTAGAGAGAGTACTCCATGTGGTGGAGAGAGTAATCCATCCACTATTATATGGGGACATGTTATTATTCATTAATCCAAGTCCATTTTCCAATGTACAACACCAAGAATGACCCTGATGTGAACTACGGACTCTGGATCATAACAGTATCACTATGGGTTCATCAGTCATAACAAAGGTACCGTATGATGAGGGATGTTGACAGTGGATTATTATTTTACAAGTACTCAAAAGAAATCATTTTCAGTGCAAGGTCTGATTGAGATCTCGCTCTCCTTCTCTGCCTCCCCTGGTTGCATTCTCTCTCTCTCTCTCTCTCTCTCTCTCTCTCTCTCTCAGATACATACATACATACATACATACATACATACATACATCTTTAAAAGGGAGTTGTTTTGTAGAGAAGAAAATACATGGCTCCAGAAATTCTTGAATGAAGCCAGAGCTATGATTTAAAGAGTTGACTGCTGGGATGTAATAAAGCACTTGGAGAAAGCCTGAAGACTGAATGGTATCAGTCTCCTGAAGGATACAGTCAGGATTAGTTTTTTATGAGAAGAGAAAGGTATAGAAAGATGAAAGAAATGATTACATCATGCTTTGTGAAAGACATAAATATGTGGTCCAAGTGTGGGGCACTGTGGGGTTATAAGAAATGCACTGATGTAAAGATCACATGACTTGACTCCATCGGAAACTGAGAGATGCTCTCCATGCTGCAGGGTGAGTGATATTGGGCAAATCACTGTCTCCCTTTGTGCTTCAAGGGCCTGGCTGATTATCTCTAGACCCCCTTGGGTTATGCCATGACCTGAAGAGTTGGATTGAATTTGGCTTGGACTTACTCGAAACGTTTCTAGTTTAGGTGCTGTCTATAAGCTACCAGCTTCTACATCAAAGGGATCAGCAGACATACTAGACATTGAACATCAGGAATCAGTCATTCTGCATGAAATTTGCAATATACTAGTGTCTTCATCAATTTTCCTTTAGCAGAAAGTACAGTAGAGCCTCAGGAGGAACTGAGGTCCCTACAGCCCACTTCCTAATCTTGATGAGGTCACTAACTTTGATAGTCTTCCCTTCCCGAAACCTGCCTTGCCTGAACACCATATTTAATCAACTCCCAGATTCTGCAGTACCACATTCTAAATATATCTCCACACCATTCTTTGTTCTTTTTCTCCACTTTTAGTGCCCAAGGCGAGCTTCTCACCCTTGATCTTGGTTCTACTGACATATACGTATGGAAATGGTTGGACTCCGAGGTTCCATGTCTTGCTTTCTACATAACCACTAGAAAATACTAAAGTATGTATCTGTGTCACTGTCAAAGTTATATAATGATAAAACAATGATTTTTAAAAATGTAAAAGGCATGTCCCTTAGCACGACATAGCAGGACCTGGGCAATATGGCCACTGTTCCCCTTTCCATTAACCAATGATATATACTTTTCCTCCTGGATCATAAAGGACCCACCACCGAGTTCTCTCTGTTGTAATGCCACCTCTGTCCATCACCTACTCATTCTATTTTTGAGGTCTCAGCTCTGGCACCATTTCCAGAAATGTTTACTTTACTTCCATTTCTCAGTCTGAGTTGGGTTCTGTCCTTTTCTCTACTTGAGCATCTCTCTAACAATACCTCAGCAGAGCTTATCGCCACCTGTTATGTTCATCTAAATGACCTTCTGCAGGCAGGGAGCAAGTGCTGTTTTTGTTACTGCATTCATAGTCCCTAGCCTAAGTAATCAATAAGTACTCATTGAAAAAATACATGATTTTGTCCTCTCCAGATCATTTGGGGGAAAAAAATATGTCTTTATGATGATGCTTGGTACCCTTTGTAAGTGTTCTAGAAAATAATTCACAGAGAAATATTACATCAAAAAATTTAACTGAGTTTCTGTGCATTGATTTGCTAAATTTCAGAGTTTTATACCCACATGCAGCATGCAAAGGTGCATTAAGCAGAAGCATTATCAAAGAAAAAAATTCTCACATTCCGCAAAATGGGAAAGCAGGCTTTATTCAGGACCACCGTCGGAGGGATAGGGATTACCGCAATGGGGTTTTGCAATACAGGAGGGAGATGGGGCTCTACTCTGAATACAAGGAAAGACAAGGATTTATACCCAAGGAACAAAGTGGGGTTGGTGCATGGAGAATTATTAAGAGGAAATATCAGGGATAGGGTGGATTCCGCATAAACTGACTTAGCAGGAACCTTGCCGAACTTGATCTCTTGAGGACATGCCCAAGGATGGTGCCTTGTCAAAACTGGCTTAGAGGAGTCAGAACAGAGCAGTTATGGAGAAGGTCGATATCCATGGCAATTAATGCCAAATGCCATGAGCACAGTCTCATTTATTATATAAGTGAAAAAAGTCTCTTTAGAAAAAGGTAACTTACTTACTGGCCCATGGAAGTTGTGATACAGAATACCTATAAACTTTGAATTGGTTCATCTTTTCTCAACACTATAAAAATTATTTCTACCAATAACAGTATAATGCAGATACTATCCCAGAAGGAGATTTTAACAAAATCAGATATATAGGGCCCATAGCTAGCTTAGTCTGTGGATCCTGTGACTCTTGATCTCAGGTTGTGTGTTCAAGCACCAGGTTGGGTTTAAAGATTACTTAAAAATAATTTTTAAGTAAATAAATTAAAATAAATTTCAAAATAAGAAGTGATTATCATTTGGCAAAGTCTATGACTTCCAGTATACTGGATTTTCTGAGGTCCTTTTACCCTGAGATGAATGGAATGTAATCAGGAAATTAGTTTTATTTGATAAAGAGCAAAATTAATTATACAAACATCAAACATAAATTCATTAGTAGAAATAGCATGATGTGAGTATGTATACCCTCAACCCTTTTCCTTTGTAGACTAGAATCACCACACAATTTCTGAAGAAGCGAGCAGCCGTTGGCCAGATTGTAAACATAACAACCGATAATCAGTTATTCAAATAAAATCCTCCTGCAAATCACTCGTTAAAAATAATGTGTGTGAGTTTAACAGGGAACTATCTATGCAAGCTCTTGTTAAATCTACTCACTGGGTGGTTTAGTGGTTGAGCACCTGCCTTTGGCTCAGGGCGTGACCCCGTGGTCCCGGGATCGAGTCCTGCATCGGGCTCCCTGCATGGAGCCTGCTTCTCCTTCTGCCTGTGTCTCTGCCCCTCTCTGTGTGTCTCTCAGGAATAAGTAAATAAAATCTTTTAAAAAAATCTATTCACTGTTCTGTTTCCACAGTCCATTTATTTAAGCCTGATGTGAGTAAAGGAAGAGTCGGAGGAACCGGTTTCACAGGCAACAGGTGACATGTGTCCATTCCTGAATCTCAATGGAAACCACACAAAACAGAAGGAAGTTTGGTGAGAGATGAGCAATAACCCAACTTAAACTCTCCAAACTCCCCCTCCCCACCTGTCAGTGCTCAGCTGGGACATTCGGTTCATTCTTCATTCATGAAAACATCTCACAATTGCTCGAACCTACCAATACAACTGATTTAGACGACACACTAGCTGGAGAATGATTGAGCAGAGCTCCAAACTCAAAAAATAATAGGACATGCAGACTTGAAACTCCCGGAATTTTTTTTTTTTGATAATTGAATTTCATTCAGTGTTAGCCATTAAAAGAAATGAGTGAAAAAAGAACCATTTCCAATTGCAATTTCAAGAAATGACCAGGATGACATGAACCAGAAATTCACATTCAGAATCACCAATTTTACACATACAACTCCTTTATCTTCAGAAGAAGAAATCCCTGCATATCTAGAGCATGAAGCGTGTCAAATCACGTGGTTGTAGATGAAAAACAACAGCTTTTCACTGCTTTATATCTCTGGCCATCTTCATAGATAGCACTGGAACATCAATACAACTTTTCTAGAAATTGTGTTAGGTAAAGGTTTCCTAAGTGACATTGTTGTCCTGACACATAAAACTTAAGCAGCCAAAGGGAAAGGTAACAGTCCTTTTGCAACATTCGAACCACCTGTGCCTAGGGGTTTTCTTCAAAGGTGAGCAAAGAGTTCTTGCTTTCAGAGAGAGCGGCGGTCCCCTTCTTTTCACCAGAAGTTTCCAGAAAGTCTGCCCTCAGCGTGACAGGTTGAACCGCTCCCCAGAGGCTTTCGTTCTCTACCGAGATCACGAAGAGTCCTGACACATTTTATCATAGTTCTCCACATAACGATGCAGAATTTCTACAAAGAACACCTGACAAGAACCGTTTCTGGTTGTTTCCTGATATTGCTCCTTTTCATCCTTACCAGGATCCTCATCCCCCACCCACACCCCTCCCCACCTTAAGTGGTAAATAAAACACATTGCCTGGCTGTTGGAATATTACTGTACGAGTTTCATTCACTTCTAAATGGACAGTTTATTTTTATTTTTTTTAAGATTTTATTTACTTATTCATGAGAGAGAGAGGCAGAGGGAGAGGCAGGCTCCATGCAGGGAGCCCGATGTGGGACTCGATCCCGGGACTCCAGGATCACGCCCTGGGCCAAAGGCAGGCACTAAACCACTGAGCCACCCAGGGATCCCTAAATGGACAGTTTAGACAGACAGCAGATTTTAAGAAGCGAGTTGTTGAGACATCAAGTGGATGCTTTGAATAAAATCTCTAGAACATATAGAAGTAATACTCCTCCTGGGATTCAGGCATCTGTACAAGTCCCTGGAAACCATGGAATATTGTTTAGGTATCTAACTAAGAATAACCATCAAAGGGAAATGAAAAGGTCATTTTAGCTCATGTCTCCTCTTTCTTAGAAGCCTTGTAATAGAAAAATAAACTCTTTTATTTTTGAAACAAACTACGTTTTTTTTTCCAGATCTTTCATCTTTCTAATCCAGCTGGAAGCACCCAGAAATGTTAGAAAAAGAGTAACACCAACAATCTTTGTGAAACTGTATTTACTGTGTTTTATATTTTTATTTTATATATCTTGTGAGTATGGCACTAACTTTAAACTTTGGGAGTCCTGTGATACATGTAAAAATAATTCATGATGATAGATTTTGAGAGGAACTTAATGATCGAATGTAGATATTCTTCATGAACACGTAATTGTTCAGTTTCATAGGTTGTTAAAGAGACTACACAAAAAGTGAATTTCCCATATAGATCTGTGTGAGCAATATACGGACAAACATGAGGGGAATGATATGATACCCTTTCATTCTCCCATGAAACTTTTACTCAGGATTCAGTCTGACTAGGAAACAGCACACATAAAGAGGGGAACCCTATCATTATTTAGGTTGTGGAAATGAAGCAAGAAAGTTATCAACAGGAGTTTATACTTAAACCTACTATGAGAGTGGGGAATACACCAATGGCTAGAGAGGGAGAGATAAATTTGGCAACAATGAGTGGAATATATAAATATGCGCTCTCTTTGTTCATGTTAATATGACACTGGAATCATGGAACTCTGTAGTTCCAGTGTCCAACTATTGGTGACCACTATATGTGGACTCTTAGGTGTTTAAAATCATTAAGAGTGTTTTATTTTGTTTTGAAAGATTTTATTTTTTGATTCATGAGAGAGACAGAGAAAGAGGCAGAGACACAGGCAGAGGGAGAAGCAGATTCCCTATGGGGAGCCTGATGTGAGACCCCGGGATCACAACCTGAGCGAAAGGCAGACAGTTAACCTCTGAGCCCCCCAGGTGTCCCAGAAGTGCTTGTTTTTGTGCATGTTTTTATTGCTTGATTTTGAAAATATTTTAGATTTTTGTATTTTGTATGCTCTGTCATAGCCTAGTATCCAGAAACCATGTCTGGCACATAATAGTTACTCAGCAAATGTTTGCTAATAAATTAATAAATATTATTGAGAGAAGCAGATCGGAGGCCTTTCTGGAAAAAGTTGAGACATATGGGTGCAATTCACAAAGCATTACCATTCTTTACTTGGTTCCTGGCAAAGAAAGAACCCTGCCAAGAACAAAGATGTCACTTTTCAAGTTTAATGTTTAAATTAGACTTTCAAAAGCTCATAAGACAGGCCACCAACATATAAAACTTCAGAGAAATTAAGTCCCAAGTGTGGAATTTAAACAAAAAGAGAGAAATTTGGTAAAGTGATTGTAGAATTTTTTTACTATAATCCATAGCATTAGTAAGATGAAAAAAGACGGGTTTTCTCACACGTCTCAGGAGGTTCCTATAATTCCTTTCCTGATCTCAGTCTCGGCTGAAGAGGTGTGCAGAGGTCTGAGAGAAGAAGGAAAAGATGTATGGATGGTCGTGTGAGATCTGGGCTCTCACAGCTTGCTCTTGGTCGGAAGGCCCCAGTGAGTTTCAGGAGCACTACAAGTCCCGGATAAATTTTGTGAGTTCCATATCAGGAGAAACTTTGTCCCTCTTCTTTCTGATTGGAATCCTGAAGGGGAACACCCTGTCATAGGACAGTGTGACATACATGGATGACGGGACCTGAGAAAGCCCAGTACCTGTTCCACCTCAATATTCCAGTGAAACGGAGCCAGTGATGTTCCCAGGTCCCTCATGGGAGACACCGAAGTTGCCTAAGAATTGAGGATTAGTGTTCTGGCCAGAGAATTGTGTAATAAAGACTTAGGGAACTCCACAGCTAAGGGTACAAGGTGCAGAAGGCAATGAGAAGAGATAGAAGATGCCCTGAGTCTTTGAGGACCAGTCACAGCACAGAGTCAAGGAGTGAGATGGTGGGGTGGGCACAACTCTGTGTATTGACCCTGTTGAAGAGAACAGACCACAGGTTACATGAACCATGGATCCAGAGCCCACAGGAAGACACACAGGGGTCCAGGAAGCATCAGAAGACAGAAAAGACCAGATGCTCCAAGACTAGGCCAGGATGATAGGAGCTGAGCTCTCAAATCCCCCTTACAAAGACTAGATCACATTCAGAACAAGGGTGAGAAGGAGGAAGGAAGAATCATTAATTCACAGAAATTGCATCTTGAATTTGGCAAAATCTTTTTCCTACACAACTATTATAAGCCTTACGTGGCCAAATTCCCTTAAAAGAGCAAAAATCAATTTTCAATCTTTGGTGGAATTATGATTTCCAAGGAGAAATCAGTTATCAGGTAATCTGCATGCTTACATTGCTGCTCAACTATAAGGTGATGAATCTCAAACCTGAACAACAATGAGGAGAGAGTACACTTGCTTTTGAATAATTAACTAAGCAACCTTGTGTTCTATCCTAGAAACAATGGATGATAAAGTGATGGATTACCCCCAAGAAGATTACAACCTAGTGGGAAAGACAAATATATACATATCTGTGAAAAAATTAAAAGCAAGAAAAATTCCTAAGGATAGGTTGAGAAAGTCTCAAATATGTGATGGCAATGGCATGTAGTTGGAAATTGGAAGCCATGAATCCCATTCCTACCCCAACACTCTTTATATGTGGAAACAGTATGAGTTCTTAAAATCTGCGTGTATGTGGAAGAGTTGGAATACAGTGATTATAATTCTACTGCAAAATTACTTAGCCCTTTGAGGCACCGTTTTCTGTAACATGAAATCACCACCACATACCTCAGAGGTGAAATGTAATAATGTTTATCAAGTACCTTGCCAACTATCAGTGTTTCTGTCAATAACTGGATTATTTGGATCCTGTCCTGTTCCACATTAATCATATTTTTAGATAGTTTAACCCCAGACAATCACAATAATAGAATAAAAGAAAGCTGATCTAACCACAAGGCCTTTGGATGTCATTATAATTGTTTTTATTATGTTGGGGAAATAGATATATAGTTATTGACAATCGCATGCAGCTCAATACTTGGCAGTTATTATGTGGCGTGGAACTGAGTCACCAAATATGTGAGTGACCATCATTGTGACGTCACTGTAAGTCTCTATGATGACCCATTGTTCTGTCCCAAGGATATGACCATACTGATGCCAACTCTGATTTATAAATGAAGATAACTCATTGGTCTCATTTGCTAATACTAAAGCAAACTATTTTTTATGATTTATGGAGGGGTTAAAAATGAGTAATCATGAGAAGCCTTGTTAGGAAGGTCTATTTGGAGGCTTCTGATACTTAGACTCCAAGATATACTATGTTCTACTATGGACATTTAATAAATATTTCTCTATATATTTTATATAAATAACTATTTTAATGAATAGTTTCTGTCTCTTCCCTCTCCTAGAATTGCATCTCAGTCTGAACAAGGTAGGTGCCTAGTAGATGATCCTATATGAGGAAGTAAATCAAGGCTACATTTTATAATCCTTCTAAATTAAAACCTAAACACTAACCTCAAGATTATACTTTATTGGCATATGAAAACAGAGGACTTCATATAACTCTTTTTTCTTAAAGACTTTATTTATTCATGAGAGATAGGAACAGAGAGAGAGAGAGAGGCAAACACATAGGCAGAGGGAGAAGCAGGCTCCGTGCAGGGACCCGATCCTGGATCTCCAGGATCACGCCCTGGGCTGAAGGCAGCTCTGAACTGCTGAGCCACCAGGGCTGCCCTATATAACTCTTAAGAAAAACACTAGCTGACTGCATATTTAAGCACTGAGGGGGCCACTTGACGGGATGAGCACTGGGTGTTATTCTGTATGTTGGTAAATTGAACACCAATAAAAATTAATTTATTAAAAAAAACTCAAAAAAAAGATAATTGGTAAAGGAGTTGGACTGACATTTTTAAAACAAGACTGAAGTTTGCCCTTCAATGTACCTATGGAAAAAATATACTAAGATAATAGTGGAAGTTGGAAGGACTAAACTAAAATTAGTTTACAAAAGAAAATATACAGTTCCTCAAGAATCTGCAAGTGAAAATTTTAATGGGAAAAGTCATGATATGCCATGCCTTTTATTGATCATTACATAAAATTCCCAAGACAAAATTTTATATTGATTCAAACTATGTTTTGGACTCATATGCTTATGCTAAGATCTTTGACTGTTTCCCACTGTTTGGTAACCATGAAAATGTTTGAACAGTACCTGATTTGGTTTACCATTTTATTTTTAGCCCAGTGCTGGTGACTTTCTCTACATTCTGCACCAGATTCAATAAATATTTATCGAATTAATTAAATTGAATTAGGACTTCTTCCAGACATTAGACGTAGAGATGTGATTCAGATAGATAAAATGACTCAAAAGAAAAAAAAATGACTCAAAAGACATGAGAACAAAAACACATCAACCTACTCACCCTACAGAGAAAGAAACCAAGACCTTACCAGATGGGGAAGTAGCCAATATCTCAAAACTGATTAGGCACTTAGAAAGGACTACAATGTGACACCCTGACATCTAATTCC